ACTGGAGGAGGGGACGCCATTTAGAGGCAGTCGGGAGTCGGAGGAAACCAAAACAAAGAGAGAACAAACAGGACAAAACACAAACTGTGGGAGAGAGCAGACAAAGTTAATGAGCTACAATAGTGACACGAATCATTATTAAACACCTGCGAGTGATTTTTGACTGACGTCTCTCCACCACCACCACCGTGGAGACGAGTAGCGTTCCTTCCTCTGCAGCTCCAGAAACCTGGAGAATCAGTGCAAAGGTCCATCGAAGCTGTCGCGATGGCACACGTTGGTTTAATTTCTTAATTAGGCTTTTCATTAGTTTCCTATTTTTCTTTTATCTAAGGAGTGCTCCCCGACTGTGGCCCGGCCCGAGTTTCTGCCTCTTTATTAGCACAAACAATAAAAGCCAATTCAGCAGTGATAGTGATGAAAACACAAATCGAAGCTACTCCACAGATTATAAATTATGGAACAACTGCTGTAATGTAATATGAGATCGTCTGCTTAACCTATTACTTGAGAGTAATCCAGCAGCAGCATGGCTGAGGGCTGCTTTACTGACCGAGTAAAAAAGTGCATTACAGTAGCTGTTAGAGATAAACGAGCACCTCCAGCTTCTCTTAAACGGTGCATCTAAAAGTATTAATACTTCTTAAGTGGAAAAAAAGATCTGGAGATGTGTTTAACATGGATGCTACTCATTTTGAAATGATTCACTTGGTTTAAATGAAAAGATATAGCTGGATATCATCGGCAATTAAATCGCTTTAATAGTAAAATTCCCATTGAAGAAAATCTAAAATTAAAAGCATCATGGGGCAATTCAGCAACTTTCTTCTGGTGCTTGGGAGGAAAAATAATCAGTGTGGACATGCACATGTATTTGTGTTTGTAAATTTTGGGAGGAGAGTATTTAAAGGAATCATACAAATGTGTTTACTGAGGTTTGCAGCAGCCTGTTGACTGTTACATATGTGCAGAAGAGCTGCAGCTTCACATGGAAGAGCAGGCATTTACACACACGACGCAGAAACTTCTTTAATATGCCAATGAGTCAGGATCGGATGGTAAATAAAATTGTGTTCTTCTGCATACGTAGATCAGCTGATCTAAGATAAATATACTGGAATACTTTAGAACAGCGGTCCCCAACCTTTTTTTGCGCCATGGACCGATTTATTTCTGACAATATTTTCATGGATCGGCCTCTAAGGTGTTGCGGATAAATACAGCAAAACAAAACCAGTACCAAAAAAAAGATTTATTCATAACACATGGGAAAAGACCCAGGGAAACCAAGTTAACGCGAAAAACGCTAAAAAAAAATAACGCTAAAAACCCTGAAAATCATAAATTTCATACCCAAGCCTCAACTCTCGCGGCCCGGTACCAAACAACTAGTCCGGGGCCTGCTTTAGAAAAAGGCAGATTCAAGGTGTGAGATTTATTTTGCATGAAACCTACACTTAGACTTTTGTTAGTATGTTTCTCACCCATTCGATCCCTATACAACCGTTGCAAGAGCTTGGTTCGCATTGCCGGCAATAAGTCGGACTCGTTCCCGG